TCTATTCAACATTTCATTTATTATAAACATTGAATTAAATGGCTAATAATACCACGATATGCCACCATTGTTGAGTTCTTGTTGTTCAAGTCTGTAATTGGCGAAAGGAAGAGAGACGCTGGTATAGCATTTACTATGGTCTATGAATGGGAAGAGGGAAAAGTAGCAAGCTCGTCTTACAACTTACTCTCATTATTTTCTTCAAAAATGTGAGTTCTACAAAAATTAAGACAAACAATTATTTCACTTGTACCGAGTTTTATGAATATCTCTTACATCAACCAGATTTGTTGAAAGAAAACTCGTCATCAGAGAACTTTCTCATGTTTCAAAGTACCATGCGCAGTAAATTAAATAACAGAGGCCGACAACGAACCGAACCGAATTGAACTCGAACCACTTGTCAAAAAAAACGATGTTGAGCGGAATCAAATCTTACTAATTTTTGAAATTTAATGAATGGAGACAAGCATATTAAAAAAATGATTGACTGAACTATAATTTTTTTGTGAATTTGTGATGCTGTTAGTGATTATCAAATGACGTTTGATCTATCGTTTTACATCTGGAACTAAGAGTGATCAATCTACATTTACAAAAATTTATTAAATGCAGAAATAAACTATTAAAGAATTAAATTTAAAATAAATTTAAAATAATTTTGCATAGGAAGTTAGGGTGTGGGTGTAGGCGTTGAGTGTGAGGATGAGTGTGTGTGTATATATTTGCTTCTTATGCACACCCACAGCTACACCTTTAGATCTACTTCTGTAACATCGCAGAGTCGATTTCTTTCAGCAATTTCTGATAATTCATATTAAAATCGTTTTTTGGTAAAATCAATATAAAGCAAGTCACTTGAAATGAGCCTAAGCCATCTATTCGGATTATATTTTGGCTGTAGTCGTAATGGAATCATTGGTTTTCGTAATTTGCGTGCATACGATGCTTCCATGCGACAGTTTTCCGAGTCTTTGTACTTTTCGGTTATTCCGCACAAAATGATTTTTGACTGCTCAATCGCATTAGCCATAGCATAGTAGATGCTGCGATTCATATGCTCAAAATACATCCATACTGGGTATCGATCGGATCGGAGACAGTTGAAGATTTTCATGCATATCGCCTGCGAGTCCCATTGATAACTAATCATCAGACATGGTTTAGACACTGAAGATAAATGCTGTTCACAATGAACGCTCTTTTGATTTTGAGCGCCTTTATTACGAGGTAGACAGAAGCAGGAATTTGAAGTGGTAACCACCTCAACACTAGCCGATTCTGCTTGCTCGTGATATAATTCATCATCATATTTTTCGTCGGCTTTCTTCAATGAGTATCACAGGTGTTTGTACTATCTCGTTTGCCTCAGAGATAGAATCTGATGACTAATTTTCCATGCCGCGCTCGCGAATCTGATGTGCCCTCATGTGGTGACTTTGGTCAATTGTTCGATCTAAAGCATACATAAAACACCTTATACTGACAAAACAGCTGTCTCAATTGGAATGTGAAAGACATATTCAGTAGAAACCTGCAGATACTTGAAGCTAGTCTACAGCTGTTCGGTTGAAGTATACATAGCAGAAAAGTATATATTGTTGGAGACATCTCATGAAACAGATGTGCAGGGCGATGAAGAGTGTGCTTAGAACTCCTGCTCATTCTAACAAAAAATGTTTATGGTGTCGATTCTAATATAAATAGACACAAAATTCTCGATCGACCAATTTCAATGTAATGCAACCATGCCCTAGAAACGCTAATCTCAATGAAGAAAAGAGGTTTCTTATCGGGTCTATGGTCTTTTCAATTAAATCTATAGAAAGATGCTTTGCCGCTTGAAGATTTTCTAATAACTTTTTGATAGCAATTGTATTATATTTTCTTCAGCCAAGATTTCACTTTTTTTTAAATAAAGGATATGAATGTGGGTGCTACGAATAGATATAGCCACAACCACGTATACACACCCACGCATACACTAACACCCCGTTTAAAACCTAGTTTTCTAGTTGATAAGTGTATCTGAACTAACGATGCCAAAAGCTTCTCAATAGCAATTATTACCGTCTGTCGATGAGATAGTAGAAAGTTAATCATCGAGAACTTTTGACTACTTGCCGACTTCCATGAGAAAAAAACATTCAAAAGTGGAAATCCTATAGCTCGAAACAGGATCAACAAAAAGTGTTACACAATAAAAAGGGAAAAAATGATTTTTTTTGGATGCTATTTGAGCATCAAAAGCAGTGAAATCTCAGCTGTTTTTTCATAGGTTCATTCAAAAGACTGAAACTTAGGATTTAGAGGCTGCTTTGAATGAAGGGTGGATGTGTATGTGTGGGTGTGGCGGGTGTGTGAGTCTTCTTTTTATTCATACTCACACTTCATACTCCACTGCCACATCCACACCCTCAAAATAAACTCTGAATTGAGTTCATTAAGGAATAAATATCTGTTTCTACTAATCATCAGTATATATATCAATCCATCAAGTTAAAACTACTTGAGATTGATTCAAGCGAATGTTGCCTAAAATTTGTATTTATAAATGAAATATTCAAAGAGAATAAAATTAAATAATATAAATTTAAATAAGTTGAGCAAAAATTATTAATTCAAAACAAATAATATTTAGATGCAGTACAATTTTGAGAGTGTAACGACATAATGTATTTCACATTTATTAAAATGAAGAAAATACATCTATTATAGAAATTCATGAATTTTCGACTTTATTTGAAAGTCATCATCAGATGGAACGTTTGTTGATATAGTGTAAGGCGGTCATTTGTGTGTTTTGGTTACTTAACAGAATCGACGTGATTTTTGGTAGGAAGCAGGAGATAGTTAGAAGGAATGGAGTTTGTTTTCGGGCATTTGGGTTCCCTGGATTGCGGATTTGAAGTATATGGAAGGAGAATCATGATGATTTACTGATTTAGTGGGAAATGAGAATGGGCGGGTTACTTTGGTTTTTTTTTATATAGCTCTCTTTTATCATATATATGTGTGTTAATGTAGGAGATGTGTAGTTGATGATCTTGAAATTAATTAAATATCGGATATATGGACATTGTGGTTATTGGAGGGTGGATGGGAACATCTAAATTAGAAGAGGATATTCTAGAATGGTTAATCGTTTTTTCGTGCTTGCCTATGCAGAAGTGATGGTTATTGGGCAGCAGCTGATGAACCTTGTGTTGTCCTTTTGGTGTAGCCAAGTCCGCCGGGATACACGTAAAGAGGGACTGACCGATCGGCATTGTTGAGTGATGGTTGGCGTTTTCTGATAAGCAGTGACTCTTTTACAAGAAGACGGTATCTATGTTTCTCTGTGAGTAGAATTTTGAAATCGTCTGTTGTGAGTACATGTCCTGTTGAGTAGTAGTGTTTCGCGATTGATGACTTTGGGATTGTTTGATCCCCTTTTTTTATCAACGAACTCCATATTTTTGAATAAATCTTGAAGGTGGTCTTTACTTAAATTGTATTTTGGTTGAGGTAGTTTACCCGTTTTGGATCTGGTCATGTGTATCTTTGTTGTTGTGTGTGGTTGAGTTGAAGATGGATTTCGTTTTACAACGGGCGGAGTTTTTTTATGTGTAGATGGTACGGATTTTTTTTGTTCGGCAAGATGTTCGTTTATTCTTGTTTTTAGGTGTCGATAGGTTTTACCGATATAACTGTCGCTGCATTTGGAACATTGTGCTTCGTACACGACACCTGATTTAATTAGTGTTGGAATTTTATCTTTATTCGTGAAACCAGTCCCAATGCGATCCTTTACATCGTAAACGACACGTATTCTTTTTTGTGGGTACTGTTTGGATACTGCTGATGTAATACGTTTCGCATAAACATGGCTCGACAAACCGAAGTAGGGTACTCGAACTACAACAATATCTGTATTAGGCGTTGGTGGCTTAGGAGCAGGTGGATTATATAGTAAATCAAGCTGTCGTCGTATGATCGAATTGACGAAATTTATGGGATAGCCGTTCTTCGTACCTAGTTTCCGAATAAATCTAAATTCCTGGTGCAAACTTTTGTATGATGAACAAAGTTTAATTGCTCTATAAACTAGTGTAGAAATGGCATTGTACTTATATGCTTTTGGTACAAAGCTACTCCATTGTGTAATGAGACCGGAAAATGTTTCTTTTCTGTGGACTTTAGTAGCAAAACCTATACCCGGTTGCTTTTGGATCAGTATATTAAGAAATGAAAGTGTATTTGTATTTGCTGCTTCTTCTTCACAAGTAAATTTAATTGATTTTTGAAATTGTGATAGTTTCGTACAAATATCCTTTGCTGAAAATGTTGAATCAATCAAGACAAAAGTATCATCAACATATCTCTTCCAATAGACTATACCCATACTTGTAAAAGTTGATGAATGCTTTTTTTCAAAATCTTGCAAAAAGATTTCGGCCAGTAATGGAGCTAAAGGTGACCCCATGGATACTCCATCTACTTGATCATACAGATTATTGTCGAAAAGAAAATGTGTATTTTTTGTAGCAAAAATTAAAAGCTGTTTCATATCATCGCGTTGAATGGTTGGTGGTGTGGCACGAGTTTCGTACAAGTTTTTAAGAATAATTTCTATAGTTTCATCAAGTGGTACATTCGTGTACAAACTAGATATATCGAATGATACCATCTTGTAATTAGAAAATGATTTAGGTAATGTTTTCAGTTCTTCGACGAATGAAAAAGGATCTCGAACCATCTTTTCTTTTTCAATAATATCCGATAAGATATTTGTTAGAGCTTTGCCAAGTCCATAATTGAACGTTCCTATAGCAGAAAGTACTGGTCTTAATGGAATATTATCTTTATGAATTTTTGGTAGTCCATAAAGTCGACCGGGATTTGAACCTTTAGGACATGACATTTTGAAAAATTGTTCTGTTATGGACTTTTCTTTTAACAATCGGTTTAATAATTTTATAAGATTTTGTTCCCTAGCAACTGTTGGATCAGTAGACAGACGTTTAAATTTAGATGAATCATTAACAATTGCATACATCTTGGACAAGTACTCGTTTTTATTCATTAACACAACACCTCTACCTTTATCAGGTCGCGTGATAACAAGTGATTTATCTTCTTTTAGATGCATCAATACCGAACGATATTGTTCATGTTCGGGATTATCTCTGTATCTTTTGTGGCAAAATCGATTCGCTTGAAATCGAAACGAGTCGGTAATAGAACGAAGGTTACTTGCTAATCCCATTTCTTGTGCGGTAAGAACTCGAACTTCAGCGCTAGCTTTAGTTTTTTCCACAAGTTCAGACATCAGTGACTTGTGATTTTGATAAATATTCGTAACCTGATGAAAAAACTGTTCAACGTTACTAATGACGCCCATGTCATTAACACGTGCAGGAACTAACCCAAAATCTAAACCATTTGTAAGACAATCAACTTCGTTATTCGATAGTACTCGACGTGAAAGATTGGTAACAACTTTTCGATTAATCATCTTTTTCGGTGTGATATGTTGATCAAAACCATACAGCTTTTCGTTCAGTTTATCCTGTTTCTTTTGCAAAAGCGGGATTGAAATATAAACCATCACATTTCGCAGATGTTGAAATAGACCATCACCAGTACAATTCTTGAGAACATCAAGCGATGAAACATAATCCTTTTTTACTCTTGCTAGATCCCGATATTTGATGTCTATTTGAAAACTTAGAAAACGACGTTGACAATTCTTATAAATAGACGAACCACTAAGATCATCATTTGCGGTTTTAAACCACAAAAATCTGGGGATTATATCGTAATATCGGCATGTCTTCAAAAACTTAATATCCAGTAAAATCGAATGAAACCGCCGATAAAACTTTTTCACAGTACGGTAAGCACGCAATACGCTTTCACCATAATTCACACTCAAAAATCGATCAATATTTACTACAGGAAAATCCATATGGCTAAAAAGCAATCTTCACTCAATGACTCAAATTAAATCGAAAAAAACATACCTGCAACGTTGAAATTAACATATATAAAATACACTGTTCTAACATACTCCAAAAAAAAATAAATAAATAAATACGCAACAGACAGAATCATCACTCATACGATAACTGAAAACGAATTTCTTTTATCTTTTTTTTTCTTCAAAATATGATTCCACTAGAGGCCACTGAATACATAGAACAAAACACCCATATGCCATTAAACAAAAGAGAGAAGCATTATGCTAAGCCTACATTAATCAGTGATACACAACCCTATACCACTTCTCAAGATACCAAACCCAATTGCGCCTCATATACAAGACAAATAAATGTTCTGAAAACCCCATCAATGTTTCTAAATCAAATCACACGATCCTACTCTTTCAAAATAACATCTACAAACGTTCCATCTGATGATGACTTTCAAATAAAGTCGAAAATTCATGAATTACTATAATAGATGTATTCTCATCATTTTAATAAATGTGAAATACATTATGTCGTTACACTCTCAAAATTGTACTGCATCTAAATATTATTTGTTTTGAATTCAAAGAGAAAAAGAGATGAAGACATTGTAAGAGAAAAATATACACTTCTTTTTAAAATCACATTCTATTTGTTATTTTTTTTCTTTTTACGAATGTGTTTGTTTGATATAGCGACCATACTTCTTTATTCATTTATAATCAAGAGTCCATTTTGAATCGAGAAAAAAACACTTGTTCTTCTTTTATATTCGTTCTTTTATTTTGATAATAAAGAAAAAAAATACAAAGAAAAAAGAAAGAATATTTTAAACATAAACGAAAATCAAATAAAATTATATTGTACAATAACGTGCATTTACTGACATTCGAAGGCGGCAAAACATAAGCATAAAAACTAATACAATTGACAATTGAAACAAAGGAGATGAATGCACAGTTTATGCCATATCCGGCGAAACACACATCCCCATTAACTTGTTTCAATTATTGAAGATAATGTTCCAATGAACCATCCTGCTAGAAAAGCATCACAATGATTCACTCCTGGTGATGTCATCGGTATCACAGTGCATCCTGTATCCATAAATCAAATCCATCTACCACCAATACATGTATTGAATAATGGTCCATTATCACATGAACCATCCATTCCATATGTTGCTATATTGCGCGAACGATCGTTCACGACTGTATGTGATGAACAAGATGTATCATTACTGATTTCACCATCACCAACATCATAGATTCTTGATGTTGTTGTCGTTGATATTCTTGCGTCTAAACATTCATCTAATTCAATCCATGAATTACAATATTATTTAGAAAAAAAGGTGTTAAGCAAGTAATATTCATACTAAAATATACATTGACATTGTTTCCTCTTATTGATGATGTTGTTTTATTTGTTGTATTATGTAAATTTCGAAGAACAAACATCATAACTGTCATAATAATTGTTAACAAACTCAATAGAGTAATAATACTGATAATCATTATTTTTGCCCGTTTGCTATTACAAAATTCTTCAGAGTGACTTGTGAACCTTGTTGATTCAAGAAATTTTTTTGTTTTAAACAAAAAAAAACAACTGTTTCAAAACAAGTCCTACTTGAAAGTTGTTGATGATTGCTTTGAATGATTATTCGATGATGATGACATAACTTCGGAACAGATTTCTTGGAGTTGTATTGTTCAAGAAAGAGCACTTAAACTATTTACAGCAAACAAAATCGAATGGAAGATTTATTTTTTGTTGATTAATAAAATGGCTCTGATCTCACTAGAGTAATCCGATTCAGGAATCGAACTCACTGTAATAGTATCATTATTCACTGTATACTAATTTAAAAAAATCGTTCGCTTGGTAATTTATAGAATTGTGAATAGACGATAGAAAAAGAATCGGTATAGTAACTATTTAATTTTTAATTATTTCGAAAAAAACACTTGCTTTCAATAGAGGCGACACAAAAGGTTTCTTGGTTTTGTTTTTGTCTGTTATTTTCTGCTATTCTTAGGGTGTGAGCGTAAAAAGAGAACAACACCGAGACCCACTCGCATGCATGTCTTCAATAAGCAAGAACAGAATCAAATCGTTTGTCACTATTATTGGGTTGGTAAGAAATTTTTGTCGTTTTTTTTCGTAAAGAAGATTATGCTGAGCGTTTAGTGGGGAGCAAGAGGGATTATTCATTGGAAACTTCTTCCAACTAATTGCACTATCACTGCTGATCTCTACTGCCAGCAATTAGATCGGGTTGCGGCAAAACTTCAGGAGAAGCAGGATAGAATTTATTTTTTGCACGATAATGCCAGACCCCATTTTGCAAAATCCACGCGTGAAAAATTATTGGAGCTCGGATGGGTTACGGCTCCACATCCATCTTATTCTCCAGACTTGGCTCCTACGGACTACCATTTGTTCCATTCTCTTTCTAACCATTTGAAGGAGAAAAAGTTCGACGACGAAAACGACCTGGATATGGACCTCCTCAACTTCGTTGGCCAAAAGTCGCAGGACTTCTACGAACGCGGGATCCTTTCTCTACCAGAGCGTTGACGACAAGTCATAGATAGTAATGAAGCATGCATTGTTGAAAGCTAGTTGTATTCTTGATATTAAAAAATAGAAAGAAAATTTTCAAAAGAAAAAAAACGACAAAAATTTCTTACCAACCCAATATTATAGCTATAAAAATCTTTTTTTCGAATAAATGTATAACTATAAAATAGTTTAAATGATCGATTAATCTTTATTTTATTAAATATTTTTAATAATTCGATATAGTGATTATTTTGATGAAACACTTTATATGCTAGGAAATAGCAACATCAATAAATTCTGTGAAAATTATTAGTTGCAAACTAAAATAATGAGTAACTCAGTAGCATATGACAAACAGTAATATAGAATTCTTGTAACAATATTTCAAGAGCACAACCATATTGCTAGTGAATTCGACAATTCATACATAAGATTATATAAAATCGCTATTACTGTTTTTAATCTATATATGCGAGGTATATAACATAATAGTTGATGATCTTTACAGTAAAATTTAATATAATGGTGGATTACAATAGAAGGGTTTCCATCTAATAGAAACGTATTTTATAAATACATTTTACGACACTTTTGTTAGCATTCGTTTACATTCATTGATGAGATAAACATTTGAGTTATCATGTAATTTAATGTTAACCTGAGTTAACACATCGAGTCATATAAAAGATATTATGTGTCAGAACTAAAAAATACTTAAGTGATCCAGAGGATTGCTTTATGTAAGAAGAATGAAACCTTGTACTTAAAAATTCGGATTTTTCTATGATGCGTAGCTGTGTCATTGTTAAAAGCAAAGGTCTTATCGGTTTTAAGAGATAAAGATACCAAGCAAAACATTGTGAAGGGTGAGTAACCTGTGTATTAGAAGAGATGATTTATCTAATTTCAATACCTTTGAATAAGTGAAACTAGAAATTTAAGGATCAAAATTTAACGTATGAACTTGTTTGAAAATTTTTAAATAGTTTGTTGATATTTGAGATGTGGGCAGATTTTTCTTTTTACCTAAAACACTTTAGCCATGAGATGATTAAAAATGAAATTTTCATGATGCTAGTAAGCGACTGACTAGTAATCGTTACTTCTATGGTATGAAATAATTATATTGAGTTGTTACATCAAGCGTGCACTTAAAAAGTTTTGCGATGTCTGAATAAACAATTAATTTTCATAATTTCAGAAAGGTATAAGTTATTACAACACTGACACATCAATGCTTACGTACTAGCATAGAAAACATAATATTTTAAAAAAATCTAATATTCTTCAAAAATCAATAGAGTTCTCTTTATGAATACGATAAATATGGAAATAAAGTAAACTCGATTCAAATTCGAAAAACTTGCCAAGCCAATGAGAGCAATAACAAATATTTACGATTAGTACAAATTAAATAACTTATTTAAAATAAAGAAAATAAACATTATGATATAATTAATGTTATCCATCTTGAGAGAAAAGACTTTTTAAGAATCACTGAATTTTTCTAGACGTTTAAGGTATGAAGCAGTTTATTGAAGTACATGCCGGATTTACTTTATTTATTGGATTCTAGACATACCCAGATGAATTTGATATTTTGTGTTGCAGTGATGCCGGAAATCGAAAACCGCAAAATCTTCTTTCAATCGTAACATGAAAGAGTCGAGATCGAACCAAGAACTGGTTTTTATTAATTTTCGTTATAAGATCTTATTTCCATATCAATACTGTGCACACAAGACAAATTTTAGAACATTTTCGTTTTTTCATGCTTTGAGATAATGATGACGAAAAAAGATAACTATCACGCTGTATAGCCATATGTAACACAGTTATGAATACAGCTATTGATGTGCGATGAATCAGGTAGATAATTAATCGGGCAATCACTGTCACTGTTTTACAAAGAAATTGACAAGAATTACTAGAGTTTTGATAGTTAGGAATTCAGCGATGTCGACTTCGGGTATTGATTATAAGTTCTATGATATGTATGACAAACAACCAAGTCTTCTGATTAGGTAGGAAGAAAAAATTCAGCTCAGTACAACAAAGTACACTAGTCAAAATGATCTTCTAGCAGTTTGAAAAAAACCATTTTTTTATTGTTTGTTGAACGTTATTTTTTTTTAAATTCTATTAGAATGAGTTGTTTTAAATGTAAATTTAAATTATAGTGTCATATAGATTTAAGTTTATGGAAAGTAAACAAATTCTCTAGAATTGTTTTTTTTTGTATCTTAGATAAGTTTTTAACCTTACAGTAAAGTATATAAATAATATTAACGTTTACCACTACAAAAGTGAATAGAATGAGCTTCAATATACTTTCGGGCAGACGAATTGAATCAAATTGTTGATGTGTTCATTTGATTTCATCTGTTGTTTTTTCTTTTTAATTATGTATTCAATATACGAGACGAGCTTTGATCATCTTCGTTGCTCTGTTCATCAATTTGATTGATCCAATGATCAGATTCATCGTCCTGAGAACTGTAACTTTCTTCGGGTACTGAGTTAAACATTCTGCGCGGTAGAAAATATGAAAGAAACTAATGCAAACAACTCACAAGTTCAGCTTTACATCGTATGTAGCGTGCAGGTTTACCAACATGTGATTGTAGAACAAAAAGAAAAGATATACTCTGCAGAGTGACACTAGACTGTAATAAACACATTCCTGTCTCTCTATTATACAGTGATTCCCTGACGTTGCATATTTCTTTCCCTCGTTCTTTGTTTCTACTATGTTGTACAGATGACAAGTACGACATACATATATGTATCCTCTCCTTTATCTTTAGCTTTTTCAAACATTCTCTTCTTCTGATATTGTTCAAATACTTTTCCTCCTGTTCGTTTTTCCTAGCTCGTTTACATATATATTTGGTGACCGTTTGAATAATAAAGGAGACGTTCCATACTCATCTGTTATGCCAATCACGCGTTGATAGTCTTATGAGACGACTCTATCACATACCATAATATAGTGCATTTGTTTGAGCAGCAATTAAAGATTTTATGAATAATACTATGTTCAGATTATTGACATAAAATGTGCAATGAATGTGCGTTAATTTGGTATTAAATAAGTTTCTATACATCTTACAGCTCAAGAGAACAAAACTTTAAAAAAATGGTATTTATAGATACCATTGGGCAAGAAAGGGTCAAATGATCTAAATAAAAGAAATTTTATATTGATAAAAATATTATTTACCATATTGTTTCTTGTTGAAATCATCTAAGTGATAAAACCATGCATATTTATTAAATTTAAGCTTACCGTTCAATTTATTCTCGAAAGATCGAAATAAAAAAAAAACATCAGCTATATTTATAAAACTTGAACTTACCATGTTGTTTCTGATTTAAATGATCTAGATGAAAGAAAACATTTATAATGATAAAATTTAAGCTTACCATTTTATTTCTTATTGAAATGAACTGAAGGTAAAAACTCATTTATAGGTATTAAATTTATAATTATCGTTCTACTTGTTGTTGACGATATTTATCCTATCAAAAGGAGAACGTGTTGAAATCTGAGCAATTTTGAAGAGTTCAATAGATCCTTATATGATAGTACAAGACTTTGTGAGAATTTCTATATTCAAATAGTAATAGCTGCGATTTTGATAAATAAATCAATTTTCTTAGTAGATTTCAGAAAGAAACGATAATCTACGTGCTTTCGTCTGTTGTATGATGCATAGACAAGGGACTTGAATTAATACACGGAATAAGGTTCATCACGGCGAAAAACGATAGTCGTAACGACTGCCCTTTTCGGTGGTACGTAAACGACCATTGTAAACGACGTAGCTGAAGTTAGCACCTGATTCGAGTAATTCCATCACCGATTCGCTCAAGAAGTGTTTCCAGTCTGTTTCAGAAGAGTTCCAAATACATTTCGCCGAGCTCTATCGGATGGTGCAATTCGTTTTACGATATCTTTAACCATTCGTGCAAAAGTTCAAAAATTCTCTTTTTTCCCATGAACCATAGGGAAATCTGGGAGTAATTCCACCATCGATTCGCTGAGAAAGTGTTCCAGAAGCGTTCCAAATACATTTTAACGCGCTCTATCCAATTGTGAAAGTAGATTTACGATTTCTTCACTCAATTTTGCAAAAGTTCGAAAATATTGTTTTACTCCTGCGGGCATACGCGTAAACCTGAACGTAAAAAAACACTATTCTTAAACTTTTACACGAATGGTTCAACACACTGGCAGTCGGACTTCACCATTCAATAGAACACCTCAAACTGTAGTTGGAACTCTTTCGGAAGAACCTGGAACTCTTTCTGAGCGAATCGGTCGTGAAATTACTCGAATCGAGTACTAACCTCACCTACATTGTTTTTCTTTTTCTTGTTGCACGGTGAATAGATAAATTATATTCATAAAAATCCATGTTTACACTTATTTGTATTCTTACCTTGTTTCTTATGTAATGTTTCAGCAGTCGCATATCTTGAAAGACTGGTGATCAATTAGCATTTTAAAAAATTTATTAAATCCAGAAACAAAATATTAACAGATTTAAATTTAAAATAAATTTAAACTTGTTTCAAATTTAACTTTATAAGATTTTCATTTATTTTGAATTTAAATTGACAAGAATTTTAATTCAAAATAAATTAACAAAACAATGTCATCGAGAACTTTTCTAAGTTTGCGACTCGAAAACGTTATTCATCTTTTACATCGAATGCTTTTATTCAAAACATGGATCGACCCAATCTTTTATTCTGATACCAATAGTACCAAATGTTTTGATAGAAATTCTGATTATTTTAAAGACAAACGGTTAAATTATAGTCATCAAGGATAACTTTTACCACTTATGCGCGTTATGTATTAATTTAAAGTATCTTATTCATCAAGCAAACTTCATGCAATAGTATTATTTTGCAAAGTTTTGAGAAATGTATTGTATGATATCAAATTCATAGCCAGTCATTGCTGTTTAACAGTTGAGCATTGAGAATGTTTTGTCATAGTGTTCTCATATTATACATATAAACTAACAAAGTCATATGAAAAAAATTAAAATAAGTACAATATTTTGTCAGAATCCTCTACTTAATTGGACAGAGAAAAAGGCTTTTATTTTATGTATTATTCATAATGTAGTAACTGGCGAGAGAAAGCAAAAAATGTGTATAAAAAGTGCAATGCATAACCCTAAACAAGATGGATGCTATCAAGTTTTAAATTAACTGTGTGCAGTCTCAAGAAAATACAATAGTCTTATTCGAATGAGCAATGATTTATAATACATAAATTGACTATTGCGAATATAATACAGTCAATTTAGATAGGAGAGTAATTGCATGGCTTGATCAGCCATTTCATTTTATTTACACAGTCAAGTAACGATAATATTCGTCCTACGCATGAATAGATTCATACAAAAGAGAAAAATTAACGTTCTTCAACGATGTACATTCATCACCTGTATAGATAAAATTGATGAAAGGAACGTATTGTTTATGCATTACCATGTGCACTTTTTACAGTTAGCGAAAGTAAAAATTTGTTTTTTTTTAAAGCACAGAGCGAGTGCAAATACAATCAAGGCTAGAGATTTGTTTATCAAAAAAAAAAAGAATAAAATCAGTTGTGTAGGATAAAATATCTCCTTATTTAAGTGGATAAAAGACCAGTGTGAATAACGAGTGATTTTCGTATATAAGCAAAGAGAAAAAAAAACATATTTGCAGTTGTATCCTTATTTTAACTACTGCACACTAGCAGTTCGATCTATTTTATCGCATCTCATCAAACAAAACTTATTAATGTTTAAAAGACGTGTTTTCATTGACAAATCTACTGGAGACAAGTATTGCATCGGTGGTCTTATAGAGACAGAAGAAGAGTATGTACACGAATGGTTACAAAAGACGTTTAATGATCTTGTTCAATTCACTTCTCCACAACTTCCACGTAAAGTAGATCTTCGTTCACATATGACACCTGTTGAAAAACAAGGGGATACGATGACCTGGTATGAATAAAATATTTGGCTTTAAATCATGATATCTATAAAATTTTTATTTGTTTAGCACAACGAACGCTCTTGCAGGTAAATGAAATTTTTTTATTGAAAGATTTCCTAAATTTTTGATTGTAGGAGCTTTGGAATATTTGTTAAAAAAAAGTACTGGTGATAATATTGATGTAAGTCGCTTATTTATTTATTACAATGCTCGACTTAAAACTAAACCAGATGGAAAAATCGCAGATTCAGGTACTCGTATACCTATAGCTATAGAAGTATTAAAAGAATCTGGTACTTGTCTTGAACAAGTTTGGCCATTCGATATGAAAAACTTAAATAAACGTCCCAATAGTGAAGCCTACGAAGCAGCCCACCAATATAAGATCATTGAGGCATTAAAAGTTAACATCGATTTAGATGATATGAAAAAATGCCTTGCACTTGGATATCCATTTATATTTGGATTAAAAACATTTGCACTATATCAGAAAGCAAAAAAAACCGGTATGGTCCCAATGCCAAATCCAGAAGCCACATCGCCAGAATGGATATTTAGGTTTGATTTTCTTTGAATAGTAAAAGATAAAATTAAAATTGATTTTTTAGACATGCAATGTTGGCTGTAGGTTATAATGATGATTTGAAAAAATTCATCGTTCGAAATTCTTGGGGAGAAGATTGGGTAAATAAGAATTTCTTTGAAATAAATATTTATGTTCTGTTTCATTTTAGGGTGCGAAAGGATATTGTTATATTCCATATGATTATATGATTGATCCGAACTACTGTCGTGATGCATATGTTATTCGTCATATGGAAACTGATATGAACGGTCAGGAACATTGGTGTGATGATGATTCAGAGGAAGGTGGCGCATCTTATGCTGCTGAAGATGATGGCAACGAGGTTGAGCTTGAAATTATAGACGAAGAACTACAAGAAGAAGAAGAAGAAGGTGCAGGAGAACAAAACGAACCAAAAGAACAAGAAGAAGAAAAAGAAGACGTCGGAGAACAAAACGAACCAAAAAAACAAGAAGAATCAAATGAATAACAAAAACCGGAAGATCAAAATTATCAAGACAACTAATTATGAAGTTTCGAGGGACTAAACAATATTCAACATAAAAATCTAACGGATTTTGTTTTTTTTTTCATTCGAACAATAAAATATTCAAACTAATAAATTTATTGGAGACGACTTTCTATTTTATGGTTTTACTTTTATATGCTAATACACGCTTATTGAATGAATAGTTAGGATGAAGTGTCTTAAACATATGCACTAAACATGTTCATTGAAATAAATGTTAACAAGAACTTATTGGAACGATTTACACTTTTTTCCTTTTGACCAAACACGTGGTCGAATCATTGATCAGAATTAGAACAACGTTAATGCTTAAAAAATTCGATTAATCTATTATAAAAATGTTTTCTGTTTGAATGATGAATTTTACCAACAAGCTGTTCTGAATGTCAGATGTTCATTCATGTGATGATAAAACTATCTAAGTGTCTAGGAGTAATGCACACTTTACTTTTTTTTTAATTTATAGTCTTAATACTATACAGCAAGAAAATGAGAATAAGATTAAATGTTTATTGTATAGTGATGTCTAAGATAAATAATAATATTAAGATTGAATTTGATATTTTGTGTCAAGAAACTCAAGTTAACCAAAATACTAACTGAAAAGAAATAATTGATCTTGATTAGGTCTTTAAATGGACCGTTCAGACCAGAACTTGAGTTTTATTTTGAGGAAATATTTCGTAGATGAGAAAACAGAGAATAAAATTTGACTTTAAGTAGTTGAAATTGTAGAAGTTGTATCCGAAAAAAGTTTGATTTCTCAACTTAAACATGGATCCCTCCCGACATCAATCTTTCTTAATCTATTTGTTCGCAAAACAGCATCTATCAGTAAAATTTTCTTAACAGAACGAAAGACCACGGCCAAATTTCAACGGAGATCAATGTTTATAGATGAAGAATCATATCTGCGTCAAAATTAAATGGCTCCATTCTAATTGACATCGTGGAATTAAGATATATATTCCAAGAAAATAGTGACCCTTATTAATAATCAAGGTTTTCTCAGTTTATGTCTAGGCTCTACTAAGGTGAAGAGCGTGTCATCAATAGCAGTGTTTAGATCAATTTGAAAATTTCTAGATTCTTCCAAAAGATTATACACATCTAAGGTTTCAACTGGAAATGTTGACTCGTCAAAATATTACGAGTTTCGAAATTTAATGCAACGAAAGAATCTTATAAATGTTATTCAATATGGCAGTGACGTTGTTGATCTCGTAAAGTCACATTAGGATGAACTTAGAAAAAGACGAATTATTTCAATTCTAGGACTGAACAAAACCGAACAATCTGTGTCACAGTTGATTAAGAGAAACAATAGTGTTTGTTGGAAGTTGACTCAATAATAAAATTAATGTGTGAGACGGGCTAACTTAGTGTTTAAACTGACAAAATGAAGGATAAAATGATATTTGCTGATCTCTATCATATGTGTTATCTAGAGTTTCATTAGAATAGAAGCAATTAAGCATTCAACATCTAACTGCCCAGGCAGACAGGATCTTAAAAAAACGCGTTTTAACGCGTTAAGGTTCCGTAATAACGCCGTTAAAACGAAATATCATCGTTAAAACGGCGTTATCATGCAATTTTGAATCCAGTTAAAACGAGTTACACCATCTTAACCTGTTAAAACGTGTAATTTTTTCGCAATTTACGCGTTAAAACGCCTTCCCAGGACTAAATATATTTTAATACAGTAATGTGTCGCAGAAGACTTGAATTATTTTTTTCATTCTGATGCTGAATTGCAGCGTTCAATATCAGTCCATAGTACGCTGGCCTATTTAACAGAATTAAATTTTTTCATATTAATATATAATCTCATGAACATCAACATATAGATAGCCAATTCCAAGGTGACATGCTCAGTATTTATACAACATGTGAGTAGATATTAATATATAAACGGATTTCTGAGCAGATGAGAGCCTATCTACCGACGACAAAATGGTTGAGAATCGTATTTTTCATCTAGAAAATCAAAATTAAGATAAAAAAATCTCTCTTGGATATTTTTAGATAGCGGAAGTCTAGCTGTACAAAATGCATATAAACGTTCAATATTGAGAAACAACACGTGAATAAATTGTCTGAGTCTTTTCAAAATATGCTTGAACAGTATCTAACGACAGACTATTGCAAACTTCGTTGACCGCCATCTCTAGTTCAAGTTGTGACTTTGGATTCTTAGTTTATATTATTTTCTTCGCACCATCCTCCGAATTCAATGCTTCGGTGCCATAGAATTCCATCAGAAACATATGAATATCCCTTGAAATCTCGTATCTTTCCGGATAAAACTTCATTCACTGTATCACGATACGTGTCACTTTTTAACCAATTATCGAATCGACGAAAAACGTAACCGTTCCACCAAATAAAACCAATTGAATTGATATGCGCCCGTAAAGACGAAATTTCTTTCTTGGGTGTTAGTTCACCTCGTTTGCACCAAACAACCGGTGCTGTGCCCCTCAATTCCACATAATATTCATCTTCAAGAATGTATTTTTTGAGGTTGGCTCGATGATGTAATTCAGCAAATCGCTATCGACTTTCTTCATTCTTATTGTTGGTTTTCACCTTGACGACAGATCTTCGTGGACGGTAACCAAGAGAAACTCGATAGCGTTGCATCGTTCGTTCGGTCGTATACAATTATGTGAGTGAAAATGATTCAGCAGCAGTAGCGGATCGATGTTTTTGAATGGTTTGATCGAGTTTTTTTATTTGGGTTGAGTCAAGAGCAGACGGGCGACCAAACCAATCAGTCATTCACTAGTTTGATTGAGCCAATTCAATGATAGATACACGGCAGTGGCGTAGCCAGGAATTTTTGAGTAATGGGCCGTTTCCCAGCTA